TTTTCAGTTTTACATCTAAAAGGAAGGATGGTTGACAAAACTCAGGAAAGTAAAAACAAGGAGTGAACTGGATTGGACTAATTATAATAAATAGTTAACTAAGCTATGCAGATAGGGATTAGTTTAATGGCAGAAATAGTTTCACTTAATCAACTGGAATCTCATGGTCCTCAGATTAAAAGAGCTTTATTTTGGAATTAAAGTGAACAGGAGTTCTAAACATTAACAATGGCATTACATAAGAAGGGCATGGTGTGTGACTTCCTATAATTGCAGTTGTGAAACTGAACACATCAAAATATTAACAATATTTTTCACAATTGAATTATCATCTTCATTCCCAGGCTTTATTCTGTCTACTACCTACTGCATATCTTGGTCCTTCTTTGCAGCTCCTAGCATCTACTTGTTTCATTTAAACTGAAAATAAATCTCTCTCCCACTAAAGAGTTTCTTTTCATATGCTAATCCTGAAATATTATTGCTTCATTCTAATTAAGGTACAAATAAGTGAACGTATACGGATGTAACATATGCTGTTACCTGAAATAGGCTACTGTGCCTTCTGCATAAGTACTCTAGAACATATGGATTTTTTTATTAGAGGAATAACAAAAACAAAAGTACTTAAATCATACTAAAACATAGTATGCTGATGTGAACTTTCACTTACTTTACTGCTTGGAAAGAGAAATGGTTCTGTAACTATGAAGCCCAGAAAGACTTCTGTAAAAATTAAAATCTATTTCTTTTAATCAGTAAACTCAGATATTTGTAAAAAAGATACTGTGTGGTATGTTAACGAACTGACTGATGCTTGTTAATGGTGTCAGGAATGTCCTTTGACTTAATGGATTATCATTATAACATGGTAGTGAAACTAATGAAGACTAGCAGGGATACAGTTATATCAAACAATGAAGGGCTTTTTTTTTTTTTTTTGGTCTATTGTTTGGTTTTGGTGAAGGGTTTTATTCTCTTCACATGTAAAAGCAATGAGAAATGCTGTAAGGAAGGTTCAGTTCCTTAAACTAAAATTCGTTAGCTTTCATATTGGTCTATAGGATAATCTTTACTCACTCATTCCTG